ACAACGTACCAAATTGTAACTAGTTAGATAGAACGGCCTTTGGCCAAAGTCCTACATAGCCAACGGCTGATACAGGACTATAATGGAATAATAATAATAATAATAATAATAATAATAGATTGATCAGGTACTGTATGTAGTCAGTGCGTGCAACAGTTCACCCAATGTAACACCCCACCAAAATGGGTGCCCACCAAAAAATGAAGCTTTTGCTGACCACCAGACCGTTATTATCATGATATTTTTGGTGGAGTAAGGTCCGTCCCTACGTGCCGAAAAACCCTGTGTGCCGAAAACGATCAATCAGATCGCGACGGTTAGAGAGAAGTCCATAATCCTTGCGATCCGATTGGCTGTTTTCGGCACACAGGGTTTTTCGGCACGTAGGGACGGACCTTAGCTCGGTTGGCAGGGATGTCGCTTCGCGGTCGCGGTCGCGGTCGCGTTCAGGGGTCGAGATTGCCATCTCTCCCACGCGTCCAGATCGCAAACTCTTGGGCATATACAGTAGCGTCCAAAATGTAGGTCCTCTGTCTGCCTCATATACAGTCGTTTGCATGAGAGTACAGTCGCTAGCGATTACATCCAGTACACTAAGCGAACAGATCGGTGCGCCCGACTGTACATCTAAATAGTAGTTCCGGCCCACCAGGTTTTCTGGCACACAGGGACGGACTTTACTTCTAAGTAGGCTTACAACAAACAACAACAGAAATGTGTTCGCTTATGCAACAGACAACTGTTTCATACATTTTTGAATGAGATAGCCGTGTGGTAAACGCTATTGCATTACAACAGCCTATCCATGACAAGAGGACGTACATTAACTTAGAACATCTTGAAAGATAACTATCTAAAACGCCAGACATTCTATGCGAGAAGACCCATTGAGTTTTGATACACAATCGCGATTGGCAATACATAAACTAGCTAGAGAGACCAGCTTAGGAAATTGGCATATATCATCCACAGTTAGCAAGATATCTTCTTTCTCTGCTGCCTCGACCAGCCGCATAGCGGTGGCTAGATTGCCTCCTAAGTGGAAGAAGTTGTCCTCTAGACTAATGCTTTCTGGACTCGTGTTGAATAATCCAGCCCAAAGCCTCTGTAATACCCGCTCGATTTCTGAAATTCGAGACGTGTTGGAATCTTGCTTGATCGCGCTGCCTTGTGTCATTTGTTCAAGGAGCTCGCGATCGATCTTCCCATTCTCCTTTCTAGGTATAGAATCAAGGATTTTGATAGATTGTGGCATCTGATGTGAGGACAGTTGGAGTTGTAGCCTCTCATAAAGCCGTTTTTCAACATCTCGTGCACAACGACGCCACGATGGTTTGTTGCTCATACTTTGTAGTGGCCGGTCTTTGTGGTCAGTAGGAAACCTGAATTTCACTCTACCCGTCTTATTTTTAGCTTCATATCGATGAAATATAGCGTCCAGGCTACCGCGTTGTGAATACTGTCTGCTCCAGCTAATCTCTACTTGGCAGCCTGTTTTCCCAGCTATTTCCACTAAGTCGGTGGCCGAAAGGGATGGTGATAGCTGTGCCTTCTGTTCGACAGACAAGAGCCAACCTTTTTCGCAGTCTTCATCATCGGCAACATTGTCGAGTGAGTCGCAGAGGTAGCGGCTGAATATAACTTTGCTATTTGGAATGTTGCCTATGGCGAGAGCACCGGTTTTGAGCTCTTTTACTTGACGAACCAGAGATGCATGATCCATATTGGTTTCTACAAAATCTAGCCATTTGTCATCGCAGATCTCTCGGAATTCTTCGGCCTTGAAATCCTTGCCTTTTACATGTATTATAGCTGCGTATCGATAGGCGCTGAGCTCGTTCGTAGCTTTCATTTTTTTAGGGAGAATTTCAACATGTTCCACAAGGTGGGATAAGCGATTGGGCAGAGCTGTGAAAAACCCAGGGTCAACGAGTAACTCTTGGCCGGAAAGTTCAATGTCTGCCATCATGCACGTGATTTGAGCCTTAGACGCGTCGTTGCCAGCCATTCTTAGCGCTTTGGCTGCTATGAACTCTCTGTGTAATGCGTGGGATCTTATGTCGCCAATGAAAAGCTTCTTGATTCCTTGTATGTTCAACAGGTCTTGCAAGACGTTGTAGAGATATTCCTGGCTAGGAAAATACTGAACCACCGAGTTGAGTATCGCAAAATCAGCTATAACAGGAGGATCCAACTTGCTGATGTCTGCTGCTGTGGCTTTGTGGATACGGACCCTGGCCGCGAGGCTTGGAATAGTACCCACTGCTTTCGTGAGAAACTCAACAGCTCGTTTTGAGGGATCAATCCCAACGTAACTCTGCAACGTTTCCCCTAGATTAAAAAGAATCATTCCAGTACCTGAGCCTATCTCGATGACATGCCCTAGTGAGCCGTTGTCATGTATCGATTCGATTGTGTCGTCGAGCCACTCATTCATCTCTGTCTTATCGATTTCTTCACCGTCATACATGGAATTCCATCCAACAAAGTCTCTTCCAATAACAAGAGATTCAATATCTTCAGTAGGCACATAAGTGTCAGTGTCAAAACGCTCTTCCCAAATGTCCTTTTCTTGCGAGTCACTATTTCTGCTGAACTTGCTGCAGACATCAGTGAAATCTTTAAGAATAGTAGCGAAGCATACAACCCCTGCACTTCCCCCAGTATGTTTTTGAGATACTGCGACGCATTCATCAATATACCTATGTTTTCGAAGCCCATTTTCAATAGCACAAAGCTCCAATGTCTGGCTAGAAAACGTGGTTTGGCTGGCTTTCCGGCCTACGTAAATCAGATTGTTGTTAGAATCATATCGGACCAAATCGCCAGTCCTGTAAAGTCTCCCGCGGCGCCCCGGGTGGCCTTTAAAGCCGTCTACTAACCATAAAGGGTCGTTGACAAAAGCCTTTTTGGTTTTATCCGGGTCATGAAGATATCCACGTGCGAGAATCGGACCTTCAACCAACAACTCCCCAACAACTCCCTGGGGAGCCAAGCGATCGGGATTGTCCTGTTCTACCACCCAACCTACTGATGCAAAGGGTTTACCAATTATACCAGATGTAAGGTTTTCTGATCCAGCAATGAAGTAGCACAACGAGGAGCACTCGACAGGTCCGTAGGTAGTAATTAGTTCGACAAAGTTGCCCCATTTTTTACATTCCTGATGAGCCATTGAACCCTGACTAAGTATCAATGTTCTGAGTGATGGAACGTTGTGAGGATCCAGAGCTTGCGCGATTGTTGATGTCAAGTGGCACCAGTTGATTCTGAAATGCTCTATTACCTCAATCAAACCGTCAAATTGGTCAATAGATGCTAGAAAAATACATGCACCGCAAATCAATGATGTAAAAGTCTCCACAATCGATATGCCAGTACTATAGGGAGCAAAATGTAGTACTCTTGCCTGCGGGGTCATCTTAAAAACGTTTTCGTAGTGGAAACAGCTCGTAGATAGAGCCTTATGCTCTACTACAACACCATCCGATGCACCGGAGTCACCGACAGTGAAAAGAACATATGCTGCGTTCTTGTGGTCCGCCGGCGTACAGATGGTCTTGTTTCCAGATGGCAGTCGACGGAGAGATTCTGCGTCTACCACAATGATATTCTGAGAGGCATCTTGCCAGTCTGTAGAGTGCTGCGAGGAGACAAGCACAACTTTAGATCTAACTTGTTTGAGAACCCCTTCATGGTAGCTTCGAGAGTGTTCTGGATGGAGAGGTGTGAACGCTCCACCTGCTTTGAGGACAGCTAGTATAGCAACAATTGCCCAAATAGAACTTTCGAAGCAGATTGGTACGATAACCTCGGATTTAATGCCTAACTGAACGAGCTGGGTAGCGAGTCTGGATGACAACGTGTCCAATTGGCCATACGTCAGAATTTCGTCATCTGAACAGACAGCCGGCGTGTCAGGTTGCGCATCCGCTCGCGCGGAGATTAAATCGTGGACGCATTGATCAATACTTGCAGGAATATCTGCCCTGTATGGCAAAGACCTTCTCACACGATTATTATGCAGATTAAACAATAGGTACTATCATTCCCCTCTTACATATCGAATTGTGATTGGAATACTGGTCCACAATTGCCGTAGGACTATCTTCCCTACTTGGTAGCGCTTGATTGAAGATTGTAGAATTTTGTTTGACGTGCCATGCAATTGAAATCAATGAAATAATATAGTTATCTGTTTTAACGGAGGACATGTGTGATCGCTGGTACTGTCAACCTAGCTCGGATTTCGGAAATGATAAAAAGATTCGCCGCCGAGCCCCAGAACCGACCGCTTTCCGAGCTGGACCACTAAGCTCGGAAGGTTAGAGACCGTGCCGAAGCTGTGTTATTGGTGGCTACTAAGATTTGGTCCTAATGCGTACTATAATTAGGCAAGCGCACAACAAATAACTGTAACAAAATCATACTGCGAGCCTACACTCTCATGCAGTTGCAGCTTCCGGTTTCTGTAAGCAGGCGACCTCTGATCCCACGCTAAGCCTCTGTCGCTTAGTGGTAATCTTACCCAAATAGTATTAGTTTCTGTCAGCGATGCGTCGTCTTCCAAATTCTCAGACCAATCAACGCATCACATTTACATGCTTTAACTATCTTTGGACAAGCGTACACCAGGCGGGTCCGTGTCCTGCGTGGGATGACAATTGAGCCGCGTGCGCAAAGCGGAAGCTGCAAGTGCATGAGAGTGTAACGAGATCTGCCCCCGACATTTTGAGATTTGTCCCTAACCGAGGCACCGAATTGCTTTGTATCCACACGACTATCACGTTGTTTTATCACAGCTTAGCGTCGTGCTGCGTACGCCGACTCCACCAGCGCAAGAGACTATTACCTGAGAGCCGAAAACGCCGCGCAACGCGCTCGAAATGGAGGCGCAGGCTACGCTTATTCGAGACCGCATGCAAATCCAGCAAGGGTCTCCTACAACTTCCCTCAAGGAGCTCAGCAGATAGCTCACAATAGGGTGCTTGTGCACGAGAAACTTGATCGCCTTGAAGCCACAATTAATGAAGCAACAAAGCGAAAAACTCGCAAGCGGCGCTACGTACAGGCAGAAAGGTCCTAGACAGTTAGTCAGATAGCTAAACAGATCGCTAAGGCAGAGGGTGGCAGCTGTAATAAAGGGTGCAAC